GATGTTGCAATAAGGACAGTATGGCTTCGCCTTGCCTTTCTTCTTGCAGGCAGGTGAACTGTTGAATGCTGAGGCAGCAGCTCCACTCTCCAGGTTGTAGCTCCATGGGATTGAAGCTGCACATTTCCCGTGGCACCCTTCTGACTTCTGCCCGAGCCTGTCCTTATGCCCTTTGCTTGATGACTGGCCATCGTAGTCTTGACACCAGGACTCTGAGAACTCGAGTAAGGTGTATGTGGTACCTGGCTGGTGAAACACGCTACGGTGGAAGTCTGACCTCATCTCAGGTGGTAGCTTGCTGAGTAGGCATTCCTCATGAGACCCACACTTCAGCTCTATGTCGCCGTCTGGGCCCAGTGTCCGGAGCATGCCCGCTAAGGACTGGACCTGTAGTGCAAACTTCTTGAAGGCAGCTGTATCTCCACGGCATACATCGGGAGAGCCCATGACACCGGCTATCTTCTGCAGGGCAACATGGTGTGGCTGTCCAAACATCTCGTTAAGGGCTGCCATGGTGTCTGAGTAAGGCGTGGGGGAGTTGAGGTAGGAATCTGCCACTAGGCAGGCTTCTTCTAGCTTTAAGTGATCCACCAGGACCTGATACTTAAAGAGCTCATTCCCATCAGCTGGCAGGAGGTTCTGTAGTGCGATCTTCAGGGAAGCGAACTCGGGTGTCGGCTGCTGAAGTTAAGGATGATTGGCCTTAGCCAGGCCCTCTGTAGGTCTGCCCTGCTGCGGTGGCGAAGCTTCTAGGAGGCAGCCAGGGTTAAAGGTCTGGCCTAGGTATCCGTGGAACCTGACCTGGTTGGCGAGCTGGTGGGTGCTCTAGTTGCCTTTGGCTGGCAGCTATTCGTGGCTCATGGGCTGCTGCATGAGGGTGAGCCTTATGAGGAAGAGACTGCTGGGTCGCTGCACCAACTTAGTGCTGTGAAAGTGCAGCACTGTCCTGGTGAAGAGGTTGGCGATAGTCCCCATAGGGTGATACAGTATCTTGACTCTCTGGGGCACGGCGAAGGTGTAGCCTCTCTTGGAGAGTGGCCTGGAGTCTTGACTACGGATGCTGGTCTGCTCTGCTTAGCAGAAGCAGAAGTTGCCTGATCCATTATGACTTTGAGCTCACTCATCATCTTGTCCAGGTCTACTACTTGTTCTTTCTCTGGCTGCTCTGATTCTTCCTCTGTAGGCCATGGTGGTGGATCAGGCCACTCACCATCGTCGCATTCTTCTTCGTCGTCATCGTACTCCTCACTGAACTCTTCCTCTAGCTCAGGTGGGGGAATGAGGTGGACTGGAAGGACCGACTCGAACCATACAGAACGGCCAGACGGTTGTTGAGTAGACTTTGTGGGGGTGTAGCTGGCTGCAGTCAGGTCACAAACTTCCTCATTTCCTGTTTAACTCCATGAAGCTTGACATATTCTCTCTGTACCATTAGTTGAGACATACGCAGCTTTTCGTTCTCTTTACGGATCTCTTCTCTCCTGTGTTCCCGGTAAACATAGGGTGTGGAGGCTTCTCTGCTTACCTCTATGTCCTCTCTTTTCCTCTGCAGGCTAGCTGAAGTTCTGAACCATACCCTCTGTAGTGATGGCTATGATGGTCCCACTCTGGGGCAGCATCCCATTGATCCTGGCGAGTGGATGAGGTTGCACGTAACGAGGTGAAGGGGGTCATTTTGGCCGCTCCTTCTTGATGAGAATGCCATCATACTTTGCTGTGCTATGGTGTGGTGAAGCATGCCGTCTATGGCTCACATAGCCTACTTCATAATCTTGTAGATGCTGTGGTGGCCGTGTCTGACGCTTCGGACGAACTGCTGGTTGTGTGAAAGCTTCACTCACGTAGTAGTCTTGCACCTTGCTCCGGTTGAAAGCACTGACGTTCCGGCTCGAAGGACCACAATGAAGTGTAGGATCTGTATATTCTTAGGGTTTTCTTAGCGTGTAATGTGTTCTCTCCCAGCTGCTTGTAAGGGCACAGATGATAGACAGGTTGGATTCCAATTGAGGTGGTTTAATAACTATGATTCACATAGAGCAGGAACGGCACGGCACAGTTTATGGGCTAAGGGACTTTAAGGTATGGCTTGACAATTGCTTTAACCAAAAGTGTGTGTGTGTGGTTCTGGAAAAGGGGGAAATTAAATACAATAGTAAATGGTATAAGCTTAATACAACGTCCAATTACATAGGCTATAATCAATAATATAGATACAGTAGGTTGTGCTGCACAGGACAATATAGCCTAACAACATGGCTGTGACTTCACTAATGAAAGATCAAAGAGATGCTGCCGCACAGCATTACAAGCAGCACCGTCATCCACACCCAACTGAATGAACTTGAAATATATAGCTACATCCACAATGCGCATAGCTAACAAAATACCCACATAATCTACAGTATACATCCATATAACTGAGCATATAAAACAAGGCACTGAGATACATTATACTATACAATCAAATGCTAAATGTCCAAACTGAGATGACAAAAACAACAGAGCTAGCAAGCTTGCAGTGGCTAGCTCGCGGTAAAAACACTCATTAGCATAAGAAAGAGAAACCACATAATAGTCGGCGAGTGTGTCCACAACACATGAAGAGTAAGAAATATGTGCTCACATTTTTTTGTTGTTGTGATCAAAAAAGTGTTTTTTTCACCTCATACAACACACAAGGCAGGATCACGTTACAAATATTAGCCGACATGACAACATTAACATACAATAGAACTATTTACATACTGTCAGGAGTCAATTATTTGAGTGCACAATATGACATTTGCTGTTTCGGATGACTATGTGATCACGCTCTCCGTAGCCGATGTGAGTAAGACTTTTAAGCAGGTCAACATTCACAAGGCCACAGGGCCAGACGGATTACCAGGACGTGTACTCCGAGCATGTGCTGACCAACTGGCAAGTGTCTTCACTGACATTTTCAACATGTCCCTGACTCAGTCTGTAATACCAACATGTTTCAAGCAGACCACCACAGTCCACGTGCCCAAGGACACTAAGATAACCTGCCTAAATGACTACCGACCCGTAGCACTGACGTCTGTAGCCATGAAGTGCTTTGAATGGCTGGTCATGGCTCACATCAACACCATTATCCCAGAAACCCTAGACCCACTCCAATTTGCATACTGCCCCAACAGATCCACAGATGATGCAATCTCTATTGCACTCCACACTGCCCTTTCCCACCTGGACAAGAGGAACACCTACGTGAGAATGCTATTCATTGACTACAGCTCAGCGTTCAACACCATAGTGCCCTCAAAGCTCATCACTAAGCTAAGGATCCTGGGACTAAACACCTCCCTCTGCAACTGGATCCTGGACTTCCTGACGGGCCGCCCCCAGTTGGTAAGGGTAGGTAACAACACATCTGCCACGCTGATCCTCAACACGGGGGCCCCTCAGGGGTGCGTGCTCAGTCCCCTCCTGTACTCCCTGTTCACACATGACTGCAACACCATCATTAAGTTTGCCGACAACGATGAGACAGCCTATAGGGAGGAGGTCAGAGACCTGGCCGTGTGGTGCCAGGATAACAACACCTCCCTCAACGTGACCAAGACAAAGGAGATGAACTATCATGGTCCAAACACACCAAGACAGTCGTGAAGAGGGCACGACAAAGCCTATTCCCCCTCAGGAGACTGAAAAGATTTGGCATGGGTCCTCAGATCCTCAAAAAGTTCTACAGCTGCACCATCGAGAGCATCCTGACTGGTTGCATCACCGCCTGGTATGGCAACTGCTCGGCCTCCGACCGCAAGTCACTACAGAGGGTAGTGCGTACGGCCCAGTACATCACTGGGGCCAAGCTTCCTGCCATCCAGGACCTCTATACCAGGCGGTGTCAGAGGAAGGCCCTCAAAATTGTCAAAGACTCCAGCCACCCTAGTCATAGACTGTTCTCTCTGCTACTGCACGGCAAGCGGTACCGGAGCGCCAAGTCTAGGTCCAAAAGGCTTCTCAACAGCTTCTACCCCCAAGCCATAAGACTCCTGAACAGCTAATCATGGCTACCCGGACTATTTTCACCCCCACCCCATCTTTTTACGCTGCTGCTACTCTGTTAATTATTTATGCATAGTCACTTTAACTCTACCCACATGTACATATTACCTCAACTAGCCGGTGCCCCCGCACATTGATTCTGCACCGGTACCCCCCTGTATATAGCCTCCCTACTGTTATTTTATTTTACTTCTGCTCTTTTTTTCTCAACACTTTTTTGTTGTTGTTTTTTAAAACGTTTTATTAAGAAATAAATGCATTGTTGGTTAAGGGCTGTAAGTAAGCATTTCACGGTAATGTCTACACCTGTTGTATTCGGCGCATGTGGCAAATAAAATAAAATTTGATTTGATTTGTTTTACAGGAAGTAGAGTTTACAGTAAAACATATTGGTATGTGTAATAACACATTCATAGTCAATCACATCAAAAGGCGCTGGTGCAGAAACAACAATAAATAGCAGCGTGGCAGAATTGTAGACCGACACCGTACTACATTGGCCTCCTATCTAGGAGGCTAATCAAGCACTTATGCGTAGGTACAAGAGCGAAACAGAAACAACTCTTGCTGCAAAGAGTTCAAGTTTTTTATTTCAGGATGTGGTACTGAGAGACTGTCTGTCTGGCCATGCAATGTGTGTGAAAGTTGTTTCTGGCTCTGTAGCTTCATTAAATGTGCACACACACACACACCAATGTGTCCTGTAGTAGTGTGGTTAAGAGGAGCTTTAGTGCCCACTGGGTAAGGTATTAGATCACTGTTTCAGCTCAAACTAAAGTTAACACCCACTACCATGACTGTCTCTAGTTTAAACTCCAATAAGAGAAAACAGAGTTTAAAATGACATAACTGATCTAGGTGATGTTTAGTTACGCGGGAAAGGATGGAAAAGAACAATATAAAAGTAATGATAAGATGATTCATGCCATGATTGAAAATGTTTATTGACAGGGAATCAGACAAACTCTTCACAAGATGTTGAGACCAATGACAGAGCACCTATATTTGGGCTAAAATAAACCTTTCAACATGCTGGTGTAGAATGAACCAACCAACCCGCTCCAGGATTCCATACTTTTCTCCCAACATTACTCACACTCTTAGCCAACCATACAAAAGACTAAGAGCAGTGATCCTAGATTTACACCAGTGACGGTATGGTTACCCCAGTGACTGCATAGTTCCACCAGTGACTGCATGGTTTATACTAGTGATCCCCATTACCCCCATGGTTACACCAGTGATCCACATTACCCCATGGTTACACCAGTGATCCCCATTACCCCCATGGTTACACCAGTGATCCCCATTATCCCATGGTTACACCAGGTATCCCCATTACCCCATGGTACACGAGTGATCCCCATTACCCCATGGTTACACCAGTGATCCCCATTACCCCATGGTTACACCAGTGATCCACATGGTTACACCAGTGATCCCCATGGTTACACCAGTAAGACACTTCGAGAGACAGATAAGATAGACAAGTATTGAACATCATACAAGGTAGTGGAGGGTATTTTCATGATCAGAGAGAAGCCTTTTTATTTAGAGCTTAAGTACTTTGGTCATTATTACATGTTTGAAAAAGAGGATACCTGGGGTGAGTTTGAGGTCCCACGGGGGACCAGTACAATGACTAAATGGCTAAAATGTAAGTGCATTCATTATGTTAGACTGTGCAAAAACTTCATAGAGTAAAATTAAACAGCAATGAGCTGCTAAAAGTAAGATAATTTAATATCAGGACCAAACCCTGCGGTAAAAACAACCATACTAATACAGACAGACACATCTACCACTAACACCACAGGCCAGATGAAACCCAGAGAGGAGAAGAGAGGAAAACTTGGGAGGAGATATATCCAGGCTGGGAAATGGAGGACATGTTGTCGTTACATGCAGGAGCCAAGTGTAAGTAAACAATCTTTGGGCTCTCAGTTGGTGCTTCCATCATACAGGTATTTGACCCGCCTCTGCAATTCTTCGACCAATCTCTTCTGAGATTTCTCCTTGCTGGCCTGCCAATCTTCGGAGAGACAGAGAGAACAGCCAATCAGAAAATAACCTGACTGTGTGTGTGTGTGTGTGCGTTTGCATTTGTGTGTGTATGGGAGTTTCAGAGGCCTGCCTGTGTAGGAGCAGAGTAGAGGGGTGGAGAAGGTGACTTTGGTCCCAGACGTGTTTTCCTCAAACCCAGGTTTCTCCAGACCTCTCTTCACAAACCACTCATCTAGAACGTTCCTCACTGAGGTACCTCTGCTGGAGTCTGTGGAGGGATTCACAATACTGTATCGTGAGTGTGTGTTTGTGCGTAGTGAAGTGGACATTATGTGTGTGTGTCAGTATTAAACAAGGTGAACCCTGTGCGACTGAGCTATCTCTGGCCCTAATAACAGTGTGTGTGTGTGTGTGTGTGTGGTACTGACCCATCTCATCCTCCCCCAGTAGACCCAGTAAGCGTTGGATGAGTTGGGCTCTAATGGTTTTCTTATTCCCCTGACCTCGAGTCTCCATACTATAACTGTCAATCACATCAGCTTTAAGGAACATCTCTGCCAACTAACAGTGAATTCAAGGCTTTTTGTATGTCATCAGCACCTTAAAGGAATAGTTAATTCAAAATACAACACAAGTTAAGTGGTTGAAAAAATGTTTTAAACCACTTAAGAGTAGACTATCCCTTTAACTTTAAATTCCCTGACATTTAGAAATGAGAGCTCTATAAATCAGTCGTTACCCAGAGAACCTCAGCTGGATGGAGCTTCTGTACTGAGTTCCTGTAAGGGCGGAGTTAGCAGATGTAAGGCCTGCCCCTTCCAACAGAATCTGGAGCCTTTGAACCGCCTTCTCAGTGCTGCCGGTTGGGGCCACAGGACCACAGTTGCCAATAAAAGGAGCCAGTTGAGACAGCGCCCTCTGGCAGGCTGACTGACGGGCTGCAGCCTCACTGGAACCTGTCAATGAAATCTGCCTTTAGCAATGTGATACATTCAGTTCATTCATTCATTCATTCAATACACTCATTTCATTTACTAACGTTATCATGTGCCCCTCTCATACATGATAAATAAATCCATTCCAACTTTTCGTGGTGTTACCCTGGCCACTGTAGGTGAAGACACAGGTGATGTGTTTGAGAGTGCAGCAGAACCTGCCCTTCTCCTGTTCCTTTACATCCTCTACAGGCAATGGGAATGACCGCTGCAGGAAAAACTGCTTCACCTTCCCCATGGACTGACTCTCATCTACAGAGAGCGGGATGGGGAAGAGAGTAGATGGGGAGAAAGAGGGGGAGAGAGAGGGAGGGATGGAGAGAAAGGAGACATGAGGAGGGGAGGAAAGGGGGAGCGAGGATAGAGGGAGGAGAAAGAGGACGCTGAGATCGATATTATTTTGTCTGTTTTGACTGAAAGTCCAAGTGTAGTGTAACCACAGTCACTAAGGAGTAGTTTTTAGAATGTGAAATAATGATTAGTGGCTCAGCTCATCTGTATTTATGAGAAGCTTTATACATATGTCAAATGTAATTTAATTGATTGCTCACCAGTACCAGGCTGACAGATCTCCCCTGTGGTGCCCAGACTGTGGTAGGACCGACGGATTGCCTCTTTCTTAGAGCTGAACAGGGTCTGGTTGTGGAAGGTATAGCGGTCTAGTCGGACCTCCACCCTCCACTCACACCACTGCTCCACAGACACATCCTCACACACCACACACGGGGGCTGCAGATCCCACCGCACTAGACACCGGCGGATTTCTGAAACACACATACCTACAGTTTACTATTGACATCAAGTTTTAGGATAATTCAGAATGAGGGTAGCTCAGAATAGAAGCACATTGAAAGGAGAGTCACCTTCCGTCTCTCCCCCAGACTTCATCTCTGCCGATCTCTTGGGGGGAGGCGGGCCCGAATCTTCAGGTGTTGTCTCCATGGCAACAGCAACACTAACTGATAACTTGTCAGCCTGTAGAGTATAGTCAGAAGTTTCCCCTGTCACCTGACCTGCAACTGTGGGGAGAAAGGGACAGAGATCATGACAGAGGGACAGAGACAGTAAAGAAACAGAGAGAGAAATGGAGAGAGTGAGAGAGAGGAAAGAGAGAGAGAAACAGAGAGAGAAAAACAGAGAGAGAAAGAGGTCCAGACTAACCTGCTCCAGTACTGTTCTTGTACTCTGGTTTAGCTCCTCCTCCATGCTTGACCAGCAGCTCCTGGAGGTTCCCCTTGTAGTTCAGACCCGCTCCGCTGCTGCCCACAACCCCACTCAGGATTCCACTCAGGCGCCTCAGGGCCTCCTTAGCTGCCCAATGCTCTGCCTGCTGCTTTTTAGGGGCCGCCTCTGAGAGAGCGAGAGAGAGAGGGGGGGTGAGTAAAGTAACGAGGAGAGTAAAGTAACGCTCCCTTTAGTTTCAATGCATTTTGGCGCAAAAGATGGGTAAACAGCGTTTACCATCCACTACACCACTGGTTACATGTGAGTGTGAGACATAATTTAATGTCCTGGAAAAACTGCAACTACCCTTCATAACCAATGTCTACATCTCATCAATTGTGCCATTGTAATGAAATATAAAGTGTTTTATATAAACAAAGTCACCTGGGCTGTGGAACGTGAGCTCGCCTACGATTCCCAGAGTGCACCTGTGCTTTCCCTCTGCTGTTGTTACACAGTCCTCCACTGGTGGGTCAGACTCTGCCAGTCTGAAGAACTCCAACACGCTCTGCCTTTCACTGCCTGAAAGGGTAGCAACGAGTTGAGTCACAGCAACATCCACTAACCAACGAAGTAAGATGAAGTTGTCCCCGTACTGATCTAAGGTCAGTCTACCTGAAGTTGTCCCCCATGTAAGGTGTGTAGTGTACCTGCTGTAGGTGGAAGCTCCAGAGACAGGCCCTGGAGCAGGCTGCAGTAGGCTGCCTGTAGCGCTCCCTCTTGCGTAGACGCCTCCTGTGGGATGAGGTCCTTCTGCACATATACCGTCACACACGCAAAGAACCGCCGGCTGTCTGAAAAAGGTAGGACAGATGAAGGGACCTTACACTTTTTCATACACTTCTTTCTTTGTGTTCTTTCAACAGTGTTCACTGTTGTCTTATTCTTGAACATATTTTTCTCTAGGTACAAAGCTGTCCGTTTACATGAAATGAACAATAAAGCTATGCGAGTTTGAATGTGTACCTGAAAAGACGCTGCGCTCCTCTGGGAGGGTGGGCGTGGCTTGGCGGGGGTCTGACTCTAAGGCTCCTCCTCCCTGGGTCTCCATGGTATTCATAGTGACTGTGGTATCAATGGCAACCACGGTGTCCATGGTCACCATGGTATCCATGGGGTCCATAGTAACTGAGGTGTCCATGGCTGACACTGGGACCACCTGACTTTCGGGGGGCTGCAAGCTAGGTATCACGGGAGCTGGTGGGATGTGAGGGCAGCCCTCACCTTCGTCTGGCCACACTCCTTTCTCCTTCTTCCCTATCCCCCCTTTCTCAATCTCACTTGTCATCCCTTCACTCTCCTCCACTCCCCCTCCTCTCTCAGTGACCTCCCCCGCCCCCTCTCCTCTGTCTGTGACGTCATAATCAGGCATCTCCAGAGGTGGGGTCTGGGCCTCCAGCAGCTCTTTAAGGGCGCTTACATAGTTCCCTCCCACCACTTCCTTACTGCCGAGGACCCAGGACAGCCGCTGGAGGGCCACTTTAGCTGCCTGCTGCTGCACCGGTTTCTTTTTTCTGGAACCCTCTGGAGTCAACCAGAAACAGTCATATTTTAAACATTATACAATACATATCTATATACATGACATATACATGACATACACACAGTATATTTACATTCAATACATCATAAAACATAACATTGTAAATTATCCATTTGGCCCTCTACTGAATGTGGCGTTACCTGGGGCATAGAAGGTGATTGGTCCAGTGAATCGGAGGGTGCAGTGGTAGCTCCTCCGCTCGGCATCAGATTGGAGGGCCTCCTCTGGGGGCGGGACATCCTGCGTATGACAGTGCTCCAGGACCACATCCTTATAGGGTGAAGCTGAGGTACAAAAGAAGAAAAGAGTTTCCATGACAACAAGCATTTTGATGGACATGGGGGGGAAAAACAGTAAAGGTAGATGTACATTACTGTATGGTGGTGGGCTCTTTAACCTGATTCTGGTAGATCCAACAGGAGAGCTAGTTTCTTGTAGGCAAACTCAACAGCCTCTGTCTTCCCAGAATGCCTCTCTCCAGAGGTGACGTCAGTTTTAAGGACCACGGTGACACAACCAAAGAACATGGGGCCTGAAGACAGAGTCACATGGTAGAGAGGAACCAATCAGACACAAATAGCAGCTCACTGACTTAGGACTATTGGTTGTTTGAGAAACATGCTAATATGATGACATGATCTTATAACAGATACTGTACTATAAATTGGATTTACTGAGGAATACAGTACCTGTGCATGAGAGGCTTTGTGGTTGGTCCGTCTGGCTACTGGCTACCTCTCCCTCCTCTGTGTCATTGGCTAGCTCACTCAGACTAGCGCTGTCACTGGCTAGCTGGCTCAGGTGCTGCAGGGCCAATTTAGCCACTTCCTGGTGAGAGGCCTTCAAATTTCCGCACACCTTAGTACCTTCAAACGTCAGACCTCTAACCTTCACACAACCCCTGAAACCTGGACATGCCCAATTTGAGAAAAGTCAGAGGGTCAGTCTTCGGAGAGACACAGCTGCATGCATCTCCAACGTTTTCACATAATAATAATAATAATAACAATAGAGCATTTATTTCCAATTAACGAGTTTTGATAGAGCCGTTTGATGATATTATAAAGATATTACACATTATATAATAAAACAGCCATTAGACATCTGTTAATTACACCACAGATTTGGATAAGAGCCAGGAGTTTCTCCTGACTATATAACCTAGGCTAGCCAGGAAAAATCTGGATGACAGTTATGGGCTACAGTCTTTTTGGGGGAAAAACTCCAGGCCCAGGGCTAGGGTTAAGGTTCTGACTTACCGAGGCCTTCCTTTATCTCTGAGAAGACGGGCGGACGCCAGCCCTGCATGTTGGCCTCCTCATACAGATGGTTCTTATATCTGAGGACTTCAGTAGCGAACTCAGGATCTGGAAAACACACAACACACAGCTGCATGAGTAGGGCTGGATCCCTCAGTATCTCTCTCTTCAGTCAGTCAGTCAGTCAGTCAGACTCTCTCTGTCTCTGTCTGGAAAACCAATGCCCTGAGTAGGGCTTGATCCTCAGTAACTCTCTATTCAGTCAGTCAGTCAGACAGACAATCAGTCAGACTCTCTCTGTCTCTCTGTCTGGAAAACCAATGCCCTGAGTAGGGCTGGATCCCTCAGTAACTCTCTCTTCAGTCAGACAGTCAGACAGTCAGTCAGTCAGACTCTCTCTGTCTGGAAAACCAATGCCCTGAGTGGTGTTGGATCCATCTCTCTCTCTATGTTCCTCTCCCTCTCTCACCGTGTGTGTGTGTATTCCTCTCCAGTGTGTCCACTCTGTTGTTGAGCAAGTCCACTTTTTCCTGCACCTCTCTCAGTTTCTCCCACTGTGGTCCCAGGCTCTCCTGCAGGTCCTTGTTCCCCTCCAGAAACACCCTCACACACTGCAGCTCGTCCACCTTGAGGTACACACAAACACACACATTTGAGGTGTCTTACAGTGAGGTTGTGTGTGTGTGTGTGTCTGTGTGTGTGTGTGTGTGTGTGTGAGGGGACTTACAGTGTGTGCGTGTGTGTCTTACAGTAAGGGCTGTCTCTCTGTCCTCTTCATAGCGTTGGGTCAGACACTCCATCTTTTCCTTTAGTATCTGTTGTTCCAGACTCAGAAACTTCTGGAGCTTCTGCATGTCCTCGAATATCTTGCCCTCATCCGCCGCATTGCCCGCCGCTTTGCCCTCCGCCCTATTTTTACCAAACTGGTTCACAATAAAACTGAAGTCTGTATTCTGGAGCTGGGGAAAATATAGTGAAAAGATAATGAATAGTTGACAAGATATCTTACTGGTCAGATTGCTAATGTGAAAAGTTGAGTGTGGATTTACTAGCACAAACACACACACAAACATACACACCTGTTCGATCTCCTCTGCCAGCTCCCTCAATTCGGGGGAGTGTGTTTCCAGAGCCCGGCCAAGCTCTTTGATTCGGCCCAGGTACAATTCTAAATTCTTCCTCTCCACCCGGAAGTCAGCCGAGTGCATCACCTTGTTCCTCACGTTGGTCACCTGCACACACACACATGCAAGCCCACACAGGTAAGCATGCACATGTGTGAATGTGTGTATGTATGTGTGCATGCATGCGTGTGAGAATGTTTACCGGTGTGAAAAGATTGGGTTTGGCAAATTTGCGAAAGTGGAGGCAATGGGACATGAGGTTGAGGAATGCAGAGATGTCAAACTCCTCCACTGTGGTGTGCTTCCCGTTTCCACCGTTCATGTGGACCTATTCAAACACACAAAACACACACACACAAACTACAATAATGTACCAACTACTAACTGCAGGATCATTACAATATGTAAAACACATGATATGTACAGCCAGACCGTTACTCATTGCTTTACCTTGGCCACCTCCCATTTCTTTGTAGGCCACAGGTACGGGTTGGAGTTATTCCAGTACACCGGTCCGCCTTTATGGTTAGCCAAGATCGCAACTTTCCATTGCTCACACACTTCTTCTTTACACACTTTAGGAATCTAGATTAAGAGTTTTGTTATTTATTTAGGGTTATAATCATTCTAAAAGTGACCTTTTAAGAAATAAAAGGAAATTGCAACAGGAAGTGTCTATTTTTGTTCGGTTTGGAAGTGTCAAGTTTCTGTTATATGTCTTTTGTAAGTGACAACAAGTAACAAGCATGCAGTGACATCCACGCTACAGTGAGCCAATGGTTATTACTATTATTTAAATCATATTACATTGTAACTCCGGCAGATATCATTTTTATTCACCTGGTTACACATTGGGTTCCCCATAGCGCCATTTAATTTAATGTTTACTTTTTTTCGGAGTTCACAGTGGTAAGTTTCGGTTTCGTTTTCCAGGAAACCTCCAAGTCGCGTTTTAAGACAATTCAGACCCATGGTCGTTTTAATCCAGTTTTTATACCCGTCATCCTGAAACCGTCTGAGCGAGTCCATGGTGAAACAAATGTCGTGTTGTCGTGCTCGATAATAATGCAACTTTCTAGTTTCCAATTCTCCAGTACCAGCAGATTCGATCAGTATCCCGTAGCCGCCGACGGCGCCTGTTCGCCGGCTTGTGGACTGCTGCTGCAGAACTGTCAGGAACTGTTCAGGCGTTCAGGAGCCAGTATTCAACCAAGGTCCGTGCTATGCGGGATCCTTGGGACGTACCTACCCCATTGAAGTTGACGTTTAAAATGGTCAAGGTTAGGGTAAAAGCAGGGGCGCAACTTTGGTTTTATAAGTGGGGGGGGGGACATAACTTGACGGGGGGTCTGGGGGTCCTCCCATTTTTGGCGGCATCTAAAGAACATTTCCTGCATTTCTACACAATCAAACATGGCCCTTCTAACCGTCTCTATTTAGAACAACAAAAAGTAAACAAAAATGTCCACAGTCATCAAGCAAGGTAAAATATTATTAAATATGTTTAAGTGATTCATAAGACTGAACTAGATCAATGATAATTCAATATTCAATATTGTGTTGCACCTTTAACCAATTGCCTAACAAATGACCAACTCTTACAAATAAAGTACAAAGACTTACCTTTTGATTGTCTTTATTAAGACATCCTCTATATCAAATTTCAGCCAGCCCGAGCCGCTTGCACGCCCGACCCCCACCAGTCTAGTCAATAACTGGCAAGTGTCTTCACTAACATTTTCAACCTGTCCCTGGCTGAGTCTGTAATACCTACATGTTTCAAGCAGACCACCATAGTCCCTGTGCCCAAGAACACCAAGGTAACCTCCCTAAATGACTACCGACCCGTAGCACTCACGTCTGTAGCCATGAAGTGCTTTGAAAGGCAGGTCATGGCTCACATCAACACCATCATCCCAGAAACCCTAGACACACTTTAATTTGCATACCGCCCCAACAGATCCACAGATCTCTATCTCTATTGCACTCAACACTGCACTTTCCCACCTGGACAAAAGGAACACCTACACTACCGTTCAAAAGTTTGGGGTCACTTAGAAAATCCCTTGTTTAAATAGTTCCTGCAAAACACCAGTCTCAAAGTCAACAGTGAAGAGGCGACTCTGGGATGCTGACCTTCTAGGCAGAGTTGCAAAGAAAAAGCCACATCTCAGACTGGGCAATAAAAATAAAATATTAAGATGGGCAGTCTGAGATATGGCTTTTTCTTTTCAACTCTGCCTAGAAGGTCAGCATCCCGGAGTCGCCTCTTCACTGCTGACATTGAGACTGATGTTTTGCGGGTACTATTTAATGAAACTGCCAGTTGAGGACCTGTGAGGCGCCTGTTTCTCAAACTAGACACTCTAATGTATTTGTCCTCTTGCTCAGTTGTGCACCGGGGCCTCCCACTCCTCTTTCTATTCTGGTTAGAGCCAGTTTGCGCTGTTCTGTGAAGGGAGTAGTACCCAGCGTTGTACGAGATCTTCAGTTTCTTGGCAATTTCTCGCATGGAATAGCCTTCATTTCTCATTGCTGATGCTCCAGATACTCAGCTAGTCTCAAGAAGGCCAGTTTTATTGCTTCTTTAATCAGCACAACAGTTTTCAGCTGTGCTAACATAATTGCAAAAGGGTTTTCTAATGATCAATTAGCCTTTTAAAATGATAAACTTGGATTTGCAAACACAACGTGCCATTGGAACACAGGACTGATGGTTGCTGATAATGGGCCTCTGTACACCTAAGTAGAAATCAGCTGTTTCCAGCTACAATAGCCATTTACTACATTAACAATGTCTACACTGTATTTCTGATCAATTTGATGTTATTTTAATGGACAAAAAAATTGCTTTTCTTTCGAAAACAAGGACATTTCTAAGTGACCCCAAACCTTTGAACGGTAGTGTACGTGAGAATGTTGTTCATTGACTACAGCTCAGCGTTCAACACCATAGTGCCCTCAAAGCTCATCACTAAGCTAAGGACCCTGGGACTAAACACCTCCCTAAACACCTCCTTGCAACTGGATCCTGGACTTCCTGACGGGCCGCCCCCAGGTGGTAAGGGTAGGCAACAACACATCTGCCACGTTGATCCTCAACATGGGGGCCCCTCAGGGGTGCATGCTTAGTCCCCTCCTGTACTCCCAGTTCACTCATGACTGCGTGGCCAAGCACGACTCCAACACCATCATTAAGTTTGCCGATGACACAACGGTGGTAGGCCTGATCACAGACAACAATGAGACAGCCTATAGGGAGGAGGTCAGAGACCTGGCAGTGCGGTGCCAGGACAACAACCTCTCCCTCAACGTGATCAAGACAAAGGAGATGATCGTGGACTACAGGAAAAGGAGGGCCGAGCACGCCTCCATTCTCATCAACAGGGCTTAGTGGAGCAGGTTGAGAGCTTCAAGTTCCTTGGTGTCCACATCACCAACAAACTATCATGGTCCAAACATACCAAGACAGTCGTCAAGAGGGCACGACCACGCCTATTCCCCTTCAGGAGACTGAAAAGATTTGGCATGGGTCCTCAGATCCTCAAAATGTTCTACAGCTGCACCATCGAGAGCATACTGACTGGTTGCACCACCACCTAGTGTGGCAACTGCTCGGCCTCCGACCGCAAGGCGCTACAGAGGGTAATGCGTACGGCCCAGTACATCACTGGGGCCAAGCTTCCTGCCATCCAGGACCTCTATACCAGGAAGGCCCTAAAAATTGCCAAAGACTCCAGCCACCCTAGTCATAGACTGTTCTCTCTGCTACCGCACGGCAAGCGGTACCGGAGCTCCAAGTCTAGGTCCAAAAGGCTTTTTAACAGCTTCTACCCCCAAGCCATAAGACTGCTGAACAGCTAATCAAATGGCTACCCAGATTATTTGCATCTTTTATTTTTTACTTTAGTTTATTTAGTAAATATTTTCTTAACTCTTATTTTTCTTAAAATTGCATTGTTGGTTAAGGGCTTGGAAGTAAGCATTTCACTGTAAGGTTGTATTCGGTGCATGTGACAAATAACATTTTATTATATTTTATTTTTAACTCAACTCTCTCCCCACAACTTCCTTTCCATCTTTGGCGGGGTGAGTATCGCCCTAAACAAAGCTTTATCCAGGGCCATCTGACCCTAAAACAGGGTTTCCCAACCCTCTCCACCGGCCCTCCCAGAAGTTACACATTTTTGTTTTAACCCTAAACTGCCACACCTGATTTAATTAGTTAAAAGCTTGATGATTAGTTGACTAATTGAACCATGTGTGCCAGTTACGGGTTAAAACAAAAATGTGAAATGTCTGGAGGGGCAGAGGAGAGGTTTGGGAAACCCTGCCCTAAAGGAACCCCAAGGGAGATGCCAAGAGCGAGATCTCCCTTGGGGGATTTCTTAACAGACTTATTAAGGCTAGGATCATTAAACTACTCCCTCGGTTCAGAAAACACAACCTGTGCTTCTCTATCACAAATCCCTCACGCCTTAACAGGACATGCTTTTGACCCTAATACACTATCCTACTTCTGCTCATCAGAGTAGCAAATGGTAGGGGTATTGACCTGAGGGAGGCTTGAAGCCAGGTCGCTTGACCCTAAGGAAATCACGCTACATACAACAACCCCAAGAGAGTAAGGGCCTCAGCAAGGCTAGCGTCATTCAACTTGTCAGACAGCATGGCTACCTTGCTAGGAAATTTCGAACTAGTACTAAATGCAGTTGCAATATACTGACCAATTTTAGTTGGCTCACTGGCTTTCATTTCAATGTGGGATTAAATACAAAGTAGTGTTATAAAATGTTCAAATCCTCAGACCGATTGACTGTAACCTCCCGAATGGCGCAGCGGTCTAAGGCACTGCATCTGAGTGCTTGAGGCGTCACTACAGACCCCCTGGTTCGATTCCAGGCTGTATCACAACCGGCCGTGATTGGGAGTCCCATAGGGCGGCGCACAATTGGCCCAGCACGTCCGGGTTTGGCCGGTGTAGGCCGTCATTGTAAATAAGAATTTGTTTTTTAACTGACTTGCCTAGTTAAATGAAGGTTAAATTACTTTTTTTTTTTTTTATAAACCTAAGCCTCTGTCTTACAGGCATTCACTTTTAGGTTGGATGTATTGAAAATCGATTCAAAATATTATATTACTCCCAAAATAAGAGGAACCACAGCTAATGTACATTAAAACCACATACTTATGCACATGTAATTTAATGATAAATACAGTGCCTTCGAAAAGTATTCAGACCCCTTCCCTTTTTCCACATTTTGTTACGTAACAGCCTTATTGTAAAATGGAAGAAAAAATATATACACTACTGTTCAAAAGTTTGGGGTCACTTAGAAATGTCCTTGTCTTCCATGAAAACATACATGAAATTAGTTTGAATAGGAAATACAGCTAAATTAATAGGAAATGTAGTCATTGACAAAGTTAGAAATAATGATTTTTAATTGAAATAATAATTGTGTCCTTCAAACTTTGCTTTCGTCAAAGAATCCTCCATTTGCAGCAATTACAGCCTTGCAGACCTTTGGCATTCTAGTTGTCAATTTGTTGAGGTAATCTGAAGAGATTTCACCCTATGCTTCCTGAAGCACCTCCCACAAGTTGGATTGGCTTGATGGGCACTTCTTACATACCATACGGTCAAGCTGCTCCCACAACAGCTCAATAGGGTTGAGATCCGGTGACAGAATACCAGCTGACTGCTTCTTCTCTAAATAGTGCTTGTATAGTTTGGAGCTGTGCTTTGGGTCATTGTCCTGTTGTAGGAGGAAATTGACTCCAATCAAGTGCCGTCAACAGGGTATGGCATGGCGTTGCAAAATGGAGTGATAGCTTTCCTTCTTCAAGATCCCTTACACCCTGTACAAATCTCCCACATTACCACCACCAAAGCACCCCCAGACCATCACATTGCCTCCACCATGCTTGACAGATGGCATCAAGCACTCCTCCAGCATCTTTTCATTTGGTCTGCGTCTCACAAATGTTCTTCTTTGTGATCCGAACACCTCAAACTTTGATTCGTC